TAATAAGTTTAACTGAGTTCAAATTTTCAAATTGGTGGCAACCCTCCTTAAAAATATTTCCAACAGTCATTTTTTTAAGCCTCCATAATTTGATACTGATATTGTAATAAGTCATTTATTTTATCAATTAAATTGAGTTAAATTTTCAAATAGGTGGCAACCCTCCAATTTTTTCTGATATCGTTGATCCTGGTTTTATACGGAACAATACAAAAAAAGATTTATTTAAATCGGTTCAGCCGTTCTCGAGTTTTGACGACCGTAACATACGAACACAACATTTTGATATATACAGGCTGTCCCAGAAGTAACCGGCCAAACTTTAGGGGAAGGTAGGTGGGGGCTCTCTGATAAACAAAAAATTGTCAGGTAAAAGTGTTACCGTTTTTGAAATATTTACATTTTTTTTTATTAAAAAGAAATCGTGCCTTTTCAGGTATTTTCTTTAACTGCATCTACAAACCAGGCTATACTTAGTAAATTTGTTATGTAAAATACTTCCAGATGGTTGCTTCCCCATACTAAAATGGAATGTAGTTAAAATATATTAAGGAACCAACATAAAATTATGACTATTTTGGGATCTTTAACTTTGTTATATTTTCTTTCCCAACTTTGACTATCTCTGGTGAAAAAAATGTACTGAGCTATAACTTTACATTACATAAAAACATTGTTCATTTAATAAAGATTTCAGAAAGGTGCCACTCTTACTGTGTCGAATAGAAAAAAAGTTATGGCCGCTTTTGTGGGCAAAGGACTGAGGCACGCTAGAATGTAATTAATACATTTAAATTTAAGTTGCTCTTGTTACCGACCGATGACATGCTAAATAGTACAAAGGTACATTATTACCTGCTCCTGACATTATTTTATGTTACTTACCGGAATTAATGAAAGTGGATTTTGTGAAATTGGACCCTTCGAACATTGTGTTATTAATACTATGACAGAGAACACGCAGTATGAATATGCGGATATTCACCTAATTTACGGTGAAGCTAGCTGTAATGCCAGAGCTGCTCAAAGACTCTATGCAGAGCGATACCCCAATCGTCGACATCCGGGTCGTGAAGTATTCGCCCGGACCCATAGAGAAATATATGAAGGTAAGTGATTTTTACACCTTTCTTGTTTGCTTGCTTGTTAACTATCATTTTTCACTTTTTTAAGGTCGCATACCTGGAAGGCGTGGCGCGAAACAGGACGTCCTGCAACAGTAGATGTTGAAATTGTGTTAGAGGAAGTGGAGCTATGTAGGTCCATCGACTTCAGCGAGAATGATGGAAAGACGGACGGGAATACCAAAAACTACAGTTCACAAAGCTTTAAAAGACCATCGATTTCATCCCTACCACATTCAACGTGTTCAGGCTCTACAGGAAAGAGATTACCTGTCGAGGGTTAGATTTTGCCGTGAAATGTTGCGAATGCATGAATCAGACCCCAACTTTTTTAATAAAATAATTTGGAGCGATGAATCATCATGCAAACGTGATGGTTATTTTAATTTACATACCCTTCACAGTTGGCAGATAGACAATCCTCACGAAATGAGAGAAGATCGTTCGCAGTACCGGTACAAAATAAATTTATGGTGCGGGATTTTTAATTGTCAGATATTGGGACCTGTGGAACTGCCGCCAACGCTCAACTCTCACAGTTATTTAGAGTTCCTTCAGGAACGGCTTCCAACTCTTTTGGAAGATGTACCCTTAAACCTGCGGCGAAGACTATGGCTGCAAAATGACGGGTGCCCTGCTCACTACGGGCGTGAAGTAAGAGCTCATTTAGACGAAACTTATCCTCGTCGATGGATTTGACGATACGGGCCAATCACGTGGCCCGCTCGATCGCCAGACCTGAATCCATTAGATTTTTTCTACTGGGGCTGTCTTAAGGACAAAATTTATTCAAAAACAATTCAAAACGAAGAGCATTTGCGAGAACAAATAAATGGAGCTGCTGCTGAGATAGCCCAATTGAGTTTAAGATCTCTAAAAGCTTATTTTCTTAAAAGGTGCCGAGCTTGTATTAGAGTAGAAGGTCGCCAATTTGAGCATATTTTATGAATAAATGAATAAATTTGTCTTCAAACAACTCATGTACATTTTATTTCACGTGAACCCATCCTTCACAAAAAATATTGTTAGATATAGCCCTTGTTACAGACTCTAGTCCGAATTCCGGTAAGTAACATAAAATAGTGTCAGGAGCAGGTAATAATGTACCATTGTACTATATAGCATCTCATTGGTCGGTAACAAGAGCAACTTAAATTTAAATCTATTAAATACATTCTAGCGTGTCTCAGTCCTTTGCCCACAAAAGCGGCTATAACTTTTTTTTCTATTCGAAACAGTAAGAGTAGCACCTTTCTGAAATCTTTATTAAATGAGCAATTTTTTTATGTAATGTAAAGTTATAGCTCAGTACATTTTTTTTCACCCGAGATAGTCAAAGTTGGGGAAGAAAATATCAAAAAGTTAAAAATCCCAAAATAGTCCTAATTTTATGATGGTTCCTTAGTATATTTCAACTACATTGCATTTGAGTATGGAGAAGCAACTATCTGGAAGTATTTTACATAAAAAATTTACTAAGTATAGCCTGGTTTGTATATGTAGTTAATGCACTTGCTAAATTATCAACTTCGCGCAAACAATGTGCCGAATTACCATGAAGCCCAACAAATAGACATACATACAAGTGTACATCATTGATTTGCTGTTGATTGTGCATGCCACTACAGCGTTGGAAAAAGGGAATTCGGCTAGACAGAGGCAGGATTCTCATAAAAACCAGGGCTAAATTACTTTACCATATCAATTCAAATTTGAACATACTTATATACATATGTATGCATTAGCGAGGGCCGAAAATCCGCTTATTTAGAACTTGTATTGGTAATAGCAAAAATTTGGTTCATTATGCTCTAACACCAATCTGTGTGAAAGATGCCAATTTTTGGCCAATATCTTAAGCTCGCCCACGTCCATCAAAGCTCAAAAAATAAAAATTAAAAAATACATTTATTAATAAATTTTTTTGTATAAAATTGCAATTATCTTCGAAAGTACAGTTTTCCCCGTTTAATTGATTCCCCGCTTTTTTTAACCACCTTCTCGGTCAAAAAAATATTGCATACAAAATACAAGTAAATTTACCCGCATAATTGAACCTGGTTAATTGATTTCCCCGCATAGTTGGCTAAAAATATGCGTTATAGAAAAGAAATATAACTTTAATTTTCCCCGGTTAATTGCTCAAAAAATTGTCGTTAAAGAATAATCCGCACGCATATTTCGTAACATTTTTGATAAACAGTAGTTGGCATCTCTGCTAAAAAATTGAAATCATATTTTTATTGGTGACGAAAATCTGCAAGAGAGCGGCATACAAAATAAGATTCGTTAATTGGACGACCACTGCACTTAAAATACACATATTTATTTTCTTTTAATTGATTCGGTTGCCCAATTAAGATGGATTTCTGTAATTGAACGAACTGTTCAATTAAACGAGTATCGGTTAATTGATTCCCCGGTTAATCATACCAAAAATTGTGCAATTTTTGAAGTGCAATTAAGCGGGGACTACTGTACTACACAATTTGGTAAAAGGTCCTTTTTTGTAGAGAATCGAAGTAAGCTAAGAAAAAATTTTTTGAACTTGAACTTTGCTGGACTTGGGCGAGCCTAAGATATTGACCAAAAATTGTCATCTTTCACACAGATGGTTTTGAGAGTATTACAGGCCAACCTAATATTCACGCACGCCGGAAGTTTAGTGTCAAAAATTTCTCATGCACATACAACTTGTATGGGACCAACCGAAATTGACCGGTGTGCGAGAAAAGCTAACTCAAATTCCTAGATTTGTGTTGCCTAACATTTCGATTTCCCGTTTGTGCTCATTTGACATTTTGGCGCGTATATGAATTATAATTTTGGAACAAATGCAGAATAGCTCCGATTCTCAAATAAAAAAAATTAAATATTGGGGTCGATAGAGGTGATTGAGCTGAACATAACGGTATATTTATTTTTTGCGGAAACAACAACTACAGAAGTTATTAAGGGTCAAAGTTCAAATTAAACAATTCTTTAAATCAAAATTTTTTGAAAACGAATGCATGGATTTTAAAAATTTTGATCACGTTTGATAGAAAATTTGATTCCCTTTAATTTGGTGTAAATATAATCCTCCCTAAGTAGAATTTTCCTTTCTGTGTTGCCGCAGAAGAGAAGCGGAAAACATTAAAGGGAACTAAATTTCCTATCGATTGAGAGCAAAACTTTTAAAATCCATACATTCGTTTTTAAGAAATTTTGATTTAAAAAATTATTTAATTTGAACTTTGACCCTTAATAACTTTTGTAGTTGTTGTTTCCGCAAGAAAATAAATATACCGTTATACTCACTCCAATGATCTCTATCGCTCTCCATATGTTTTTTTTTTTTTAAATTTGAGAATCGAAGCTATTCTGCATTTATGCTCAAATTTTGCTCAACTTCTGAAATTTGACAGAAATGCAACTCTGAAAAATCACGCACGCAAATTTACTTCGGTTAATCAAATGTGAAAAACTTGCGTGCATGCGTAAAAAAATTCACGCCGGTAATATTAGGTTGGCCTGTAATGAACCATATTTTTGCTATTACCAATCAAAATTCTAAAAAAGCGGATTTTCGGCCCACGCTAGTGTTACACGCACACAAAATCTAATTCGATTGATTGAATGTTTATCTGTTCAACTAACATATAATATACTGATCATTTTAGCGACCTTTCTACTTATAATTTAGTATTTTGCCGGCTCGAGGTCAATTTTAAAAAATGTTAATGAAAACAGAAGTTTTTGATGTTTCTTTCCGATATATTTCGATTAACGCTTCGGTAACCGTCCTCAGGGCAACTATTGACAAACATGTAAAACATAAAATATACGTAAATACAAATTCCAAAAACCATAATTAAAAACAAAATGTATACATACATTAATTTACACGTCCGTACTGTTTGACGTGGAGCTTGGTACTGGCGATTTGTTTGTAAGCAAGTGTCCATGGTGGAATAATAACAAGGTGTTGTCAGTTACTTAACCTCACTTTTTCGGCAGGTTTATTCCGGTCACGCATTTTAAAGTACTAGAAAAGGTACTAATTATTTACTACCTTTAATCCGTTGTTGCATACTATTTCAAAATAAATGTAGAAAAGTGTATAATTACAGGCTTATAAGCCTGAATATATGTTTGTATCGGCAGCTCCACACAGCTTGGACATATATTGTAACTTTAAAGAAGTAAAAGCTGTAAAATAGGGCAATTTCCTATAAGATTGTAAATGATTTTTTAAATAGATTAAAGCACATAAATATCGATAATATAAGCGAATTCCTAATTTAACCATGCAGTCACTCTATTCTAGCGTATCAGTGCTCCATTTGGCTCAATATTATGACAATGAAGCAAAAGTTTTTTAATATAAAAAATCGCCTTTCCATACGACTTTTGTGTACGTCTTTTTCCATTGTTAACCACGATATCTTTTATTTCTTTTACATTTTGAGGACAAAAATTATACAAATCCATATTTAAATATTAATACCAAGTTCTTTAAAAATCGCGATAAAACGAATTATTAAATCGAACATTTTAGATACTACTTCCCAACGAACAGTAGTATAAAAATTAAGATCGGCAGCACTGAAAATAAGCATGCCGATCTGTCAAAATTACAACAAACACGTCGCTACTGACAACACCTTGTTATTCCACCATGGCAAGTGTCTGTACAAGTGAGCGTAGTTTTCAGTGTCCGTTTTGTAGTTCAGTCTTATGTTTGCCGGTGTGTTTATTATAAGTAAAAGCTTATTGTAGTCTTGTTCTTGTTGTAGAATCGCAGGGTCGTTGAAATTCGGTGAGTGGCCGCTAGCTGCACAGTGGGCCATGAGTGCTGTTTTTTTGATATTCGTATCGTTTTAAGTCCGATTTGTGTTGTGCTAATCTAGTTTTTAATTTTGATTTTGTCGTTTCTACATATAGGCTGTTACATGACTCGTTGTTTTTACCAGTACAAGGGATTTTATAAATAACATTACTTTTTTCCAATTTGGGTATTTTTNCGTATCGTTTTAAGTCCGATTTGTGTTGTGCTAATCTAGTTTTTAATTTTGATTTTGTCGTTTCTACATATAGGCTGTTACATGACTCGTTGTTTTTACCAGTACAAGGGATTTTATAAATAACATTACTTTTTTCCAATTTGGGTATTTTTGACTTTGTTTTATTAAATATGTTTTTAAATGTATTTGCAGGCTTGTGGCCTATTTTTACTTTATCTTTGTTGTAGCAATCCGATTTAGCCAGGCGTTCTGACAGATGAGGGACATAAGTTACTGGTTTAAATATTGTAGGATTCTCTGATCTTTGTTTACTGAATTGCGATTTAGATCTTTTTGATAATGTGCTTACGATATTAATGATCGAATCTCTTTCCCCATCTCTTTGTGGTAAGTTTCGTCCGATATATATACAGCCCATTGCTGTATTGATTATCATCGATTTGGGGTGTTTAGAATTAAAATTGATGATTCGTCCTGATGATGTTGGTTTCTTATACCACCTTAACTTTAATTGGTTTCCTTGTCTGATTATTATGGAGTCTAGATAAGCTAATTTTCCGTTGTCCTCTAATTCTATAACAGTAAAATGGCAGATATATTATGTGACTTAACTACGTATAGAATACAAAGACAGGATCCCACATCGTGACTACAAAATAAATAAAATATTTTAGTCGACAAACTTTTTAAAATGGAAATTCTTTCAAAAGCCGAACGGAATAAGCTCACCTCAACCACCGCGTTACCTCCAAGAATTTATGGGCTCCCTAAGATACACAAAGAAGGAACACCGCTTAGACCCATTTGCTCATCCATTGGATCGCCATCATATGGTCTACGTAAATATATTGTAAATATTTTAAAAAACGTAACGGTAAACTAGGTATATAATATCAAGAATACGCTGGATTTCCAAGCACAGGACAAACATTTGTGGCGATGAAAAACTAATTTCTTTCGATGTGGTCTCACTTTTTCCGAGCATACCGATACAACTAGCACTTGACGTAATACAAGAAAAATGGACAATAATAAAAGAACACACTACGATACCAAAACAATTTTTTATGGAAATAGTACCATTTTGTATTCAAGAAAATAGCTACTTTAAATTTAACGACACGATATATACCCAATTAAAAGGAATGCCCATGGGATCCCCTGCCTCACCTGTCATTGCAGATATTATAATGGAAAAGTTGTTGGATAACACGATTAAAAAATTAGGACGACCACCAAGACTACTAACGAAATATGTGGATGATTTATTTGCCATAGTTTCATTTACTATATTTATGAGGTACAAAACACACTTGACGCACTGAACTCTTTTCATAGGAATATAAAATTCATAATAGAATTAGAGGACAACGGAAAATTAGCTTATCTAGACTCCATAATAATCAGACAAGGAAACCAATTAAAGTTAAGGTGGTATAAGAAACCAACATTATCAGGACGAATCATCAATTTTAATTCTAAACACCCCAAATCGATGATAATCACTACAGCAATGATATCGGACGAAACTTACCACAAAGAGATGGAGAAAGAGATTTGATCATTATTAAAAAAAATGATTTCCCGGATAATATCGTAAGCACATTATTAAAAGGATCTAAATCGCAATTCAGTAAAAAAAGATCAGAAAATCCTACAATATTTAAATCAGTAACTTATGTCCCTCATCTGTCAGAAGGTCTGGCTAAATCGGATTGCTACAACAAAGATAAAGTAAAAATAGCACACAAACCTACAAATACATTGAAAATATATTTAATAAAACAAAGTCAAAAACACCCAAATTGGAAAACAGTAATGTTATTTATAAAATCCCTTGTAATGGTAAAAACAACGAGTCATGTAACAGCCTATATGTAGGAACCACAAAATCAAAATTAAAAACTAGAATAGCACAATACAAATCGGACTTAAAACAATGTCAACTTACAAATATCAAAAAAAAAAAACAGCACTCATGGCCCACTGTGCAGCTAGCGGCCACTTACCGAATTTCAACGACGCTGCGATTCTACAACAAGAACAACACTACAATAAGCGCTTTACTTTAGAAATGTTACATATAATAAACACACCGGCAAACATAAGACTGAAGTACAAAACGGACACTGAAAACTGCGCTCACTTGTACAGACACTTGCTTACAAACAAATCGACAGTACCAAACTCCACGTCAAACAGTGCGGACGTGTAAATTAATGTATGTCGGGGCATGGGCGCAGATGAGCGAGATGTTGAAAAATCTAGCTTTGATGCGGATTCTGGCTAGACGTTCGTCCACCGGGGTGAACGCCAGTACTCGGCGACGGAGTCTCTCTCCTACCACGAATCCAACACCGAATCTGCGCTCCTTTACGTGGCAACTGTAGTAGACGTCGCAAGGCTTCACGCTTACTTTACCTTGCCCCGTCCATCGCATTTCTTGGATGGCGGTGATGTCAGCCTTTATCTTCCCGTGGACATCAACCAGCCGGGCCGAGGCACCTTCCCCATTAAGGGTCCGGATATTCCAGGTGCATACCCTTAAATCATAGTCCTTTATACGTTTGCCGTGGTCGTCATCAGAAAAAGGGGGTCTCATCCGAGGCTGTTTGCTTCTTTTCATTGGGCGGGGTTTTAACGTGGCGGGACCCAAACCCAGCGCACGCGAAGTTTTACGCCTTCTCACTTTAGCTCGCTCCCAAACGGGTGTTTGGTTGCTACCCAGAGGATACGTGGATATAAATATCCGGACGTTGTGAGCTGCGATTTGAACCGTACGCACAAGAATCGCTTCTGGCCACTCCCAGGTGAATGGCAGTCAAAAGTTTTCCACTTCTGCGCACGGAACCATCCTCCGACCATCATCTTTATGAAATAAAGAAAAGCTGAAAATCAATAGTTGCGTTCCAGATGCTTCACGATATTCACGAAATTCACGATTTGCAGGAACAGCTGTTTTCACCATTAATAAATCTTATGGGAGGTGGTCACCTGGAACGACTTCCTGTAAAAACCTGCAAATCGTGAAGCATCTGGAACGCAACTAATGTGTGTATGCCACACCAAGAAGCTTACAGTGAGCATGTGCCGTTATCGTAGCAAGCAGCATTTTGAAGTAAAAAAAAACACAGTTGTTAAACGAAATACACGATGTACAGTGTTTGTTTGTTTTGAATGCAGCGCTGCTTGTACATAAATTTCGCTTTGCGCATGCCTGAAGCTGGCAAAGATTCTTTTTTTTTCTATGTTTGCGCTGTGCTAGCTGGATATAAAAAGAGGACAGAATAGAGGGCAATATGTGGTTTGTTGATGCTCTCTAAACACAAACGCGTGAAAAGCAAACGATCTAGCAATGCGTGGTATTGTTGATCAACTTAATACTTTAATTAAACTTAAGGCATATTCTCGGTTTGCAAAGCTGTCCCATACGAAAACCGGTTTTTACTGTGCCATCTGTGCACTGTGCAAGGGCTTTGCAAGACTCAGAGAATACCCCTATACTTATTAGGTGCATTCTTTTGCAACCGAGCTAAAAAAGAACACTCGCTTAAATGACGAAATACACGCAAAGCAACAGCACAAACTCGGCTATTTATCCGAGTTCAGCCAGGTGGGTTAAAAAATACGCGACCTGAAGGGTAGTGTTGTTAAGTGAAAAAACTGCTCTATTGTGAATTGTTAATGGGAAAGTGGAGAGGGAAATAATTGTTTCCTTATATAAGCGACTTATATTTAAATTAGTATATATATTACGCAAACACCTAGCATAGTTACTCATTTAAATTGGTTTTTGCATATATATCTCGTTAAACTAATCAATTGTTTCTTGCCAGCCACCAACAGGGTTGCTTTAGTAGCTAAAAGGAAATGTTACCCGAGTTGAGCGTTATTTTGTCGCTCGCTTAAAAAAATGCAGCCATTATTAAAATTTCATTTTAAAAATACCACTCTGTCCTGT